CACACAGTGAAAACTTTTTCCTTGTGAGCGGGTAGTGCCATGAACGACAGCTCAAAGCGAAAGGTGGCATTCCGGTTCAAATCAGCTTCCGACGTCGACCTCTTAAAAGAGGTAATACACATTCAGCCATTCGTTGCTTCTTATGGAGCTGTAAAAACACGTTGGGAAGAGGCTGCTGCAAACATGTGCATCACACACGGCGACACTTTGACTGCTGTTTCCTGTCGTAAGCGGTTCGACGATTTTATCGTCGCATTCAAGGAGGACAAACTGAACTCCCTCCGTGCATCAGGCACAGAGGAAGAGTACAATGAGCGAGAACAATTGATGCAAGACATCGTGGACCTGGTAAGACATGCATTTTGGACATGTAATGTATGCCATGTTTTCCTGAGAACAAATTTGTCTCACGTTCTAGATGAATACCTCGCAAGACCGCAAGCGTTCTGTCAAGGAAGAGAAGACGGCCAAGTTCGAAAAGCGGGAGAGCGGTGGTGAGAGATTGCGTGACGCTGCAATGCGAGCTTATGCTGCCAAGCGGAAGTCTATCGATGCTGAAAGTGACGTCGACGTTCCGCCAGACGAGGGCAAGGAGAAAAAATTTCGTCGCGTGCAAAAAGTTCCGGACACAACGAGCGCCCTCGAGAGATTTGCAGTGCATTTAGAGCGCGCAAATGAATTCAAGTCACGTGAAATTGAGAGCGCTGCCCAAGCGAATGCATTGGCTCAACGACGCCTCGAACTCGATGAGGCTAGGTTTACTTTGGACAAATCCGAAAGAGAGGCGTGATTGGAGCTCGAAAAACGTGACAGCGAAAATCAGTGGAAGTTTGTGCAGGGTACACTTGACGTGCTGCGGTCCTTCTTACCAAAGCATTAACAAATAAATTTGAAATTTGCTGTTGAATTGCAGAATTTGTCTAATTGAACTTGGAATGGAATGGAACATCTAGTAAAATCAGAAATTTGGTTGCCAGACTTCACACAAGTGTGAATATTTGTCAGGAGTACGGCAACAGCGTAGCGCATTCGAAATTTGGTTGCCAGACTTCACACAAGTGTGAATATTTGTCAGGAGTACGGCAACAGCGTAGCGCATTCCCACTGGCTGGGACCCTAACGTTTGACCCCCGGAATAGTCAATTAAGGTCCACAGCTTGGTAACAAGGCCAAATCCCCACTCAACACTGACCCGAAAGGAGATCATGGCGCTATTGAACTTCTTTTGTGACGGCTCGAAACTTGATCCATTATATACTCACAACGACACTTTTAATCCCATACGCAGGATCACCATAAACGACGTATCGCTTTCCGTTCGCCAAGATCCTATCGTACAAATACGGAACAATATTGCTCCTTTCGAGAAGATACGCGTCATGTCGTGAACCAGGTTCAGGGCCATACAAGTGAACAATTATTCCATCTGCAGCCGTGATCGATTGAAATTTTAAAGCATGCTTTCTCTAGAACAAAATTTAGTTGAGACCACAACTATGTTTGATAATTTCTACCTTGTGACCGCTGTACGCAACAGACTGAAGGCCATTACAAGGACGGCAAATCCCACGAACAGTCCCATCAATAAACCCAATACATGTGTCCAATGGAGCACCTTTAGCAAAAATGGCATCTGAGCACCTTTGCATCCACAGTCCATCCAGACGGCCGTCGTCCCAGAAGCGCAAATGATGGAAGCGGTTGTACACAAAGGCCATGGTTTCGTTCGCAATCGCACAGAGTGCCTCACGTAATCGACCAAACAGCAGCACCATTGACCCCAGTCGATGTGGCCAAGCCAAATGGTTCAGCAGAATGCAAAGGGCCTCCTCGGCAGTGACGTAGTAGCGAAACGTGTTC